AAGTTCTTCGACATGTTCCTGAAACTGAAAGACCTGACGACTAGCCAGGCGTTTCTCGAATTCGACACGAACAAGGACGGTTGGATTTCACCGAAAGAGTTTCAACGCGCGATGGAGGGTCAGAAGATGTACTCTATCGAGGAGATCAATTACTTGATGATGTGCACAGACGTTAACAACGACGGAAAGATCGACTACATGGAATTCACTGAACGATTCCACAACCCGGCAAAGGACATCGGTAACGCCTTCCATTTTCCCTTATTGAACTTCAGTTTCTATGTTGTTTTTTGCCACTCAGGTTTCAACCTCGCTGTTCTGTTGACCAACCTCAAGGAGCACATCAGTGGCGACAACCGCCTTGACCCAATATTCCAAACGGCATCGGCGATGTGCGAGTACTTCGACCAGTATCTGGGACGCATCGAAATTATGGGATCAAGCAAACGTGTTGAGAAGGTGTACTTTGAAATCAAGGAAGAATGGCTCGAGCAGTTCAACAAGCCCCAAATTAAAGTAACCCACAAAGAGAGCTTGACGATCATGACATAAGCGGTTGTCGTTTTAGCAATCGAAAAAAGACTTTTTGTTTAACGTGATGCAGAGCGATGGTGGTGAGCAGGGCAAATTGGAAGCCTTTGTGAACTTCTGTGAAGACACGATCTTTGAGGTAAATGACTTGGTACAAAATTCGGATTGGGATTTGCTCTTCAGCTGACATGTTTTATTTTTACTGCGCGGCTGTGGGGCTAAAAAATATGTAATAATAAAGTTTTCGCATTTGAAACGCAATATCCCAGGAGGGCTCTCCTCCACTAATACAGAATCGAATTGTTTTTTCATAACTTGTGCCGACGACATTAGTTCCTCAAGGCTGATGTCTCTGCTGTTTGAATAGGCAGTCTCTGTCTCAAACGGCAGTTGACAACATTCAGTCGCTTTCCCATTCAAGGGCAGCTTTTCGCACTGTTCTGTTTGGTAGAGGGTCATTTCATCAACGATTGAACTGTATACATGTATACGCTTATGCAAGCGACGAACGATGACCTGACCCGGATATATTTTGCTTGCCTAAAAAAGAGGGTGATTTCGCTGACACATTCTACGAAATTCCAGAAATTTGCCGCCATTGTCTTTGCTATAGGTGGGAATTCAAAATTATGTGGCCTCCATATCACTGCTGCTTTTGTTTTGCCAGATGCAAATTTGACAGGTGGCTTCTTTTAGTCTGTACATTAAAGGATGGTCTGCAGAAAACCTGATGGTTCACTTCGACTCTTTGTATAAAATGAGCTATATTGAGCTTGTAGACTGATTAAGTTTTATGATATAGAAGAGGAAATCTGCCAGAATCTGTTACCATTGGAATAAAACACTTTACTAGGTGAAGCCTTCAGATTTCAGGATGGTGTTCCTTCTTCAGCACAGCATATAATGCACAGCGAAGATATCGTAGTCATTGAGATCAGCAAGTTTACAATTAAAGCATTTTAACGGAGCCAAATAAGAATATGCGAAGGTAAAATGAGGTGATAGATAAAAAAATGAAGGGAACTGGAGAAATAAAAATACATTGAGGTTAAATAGTAGAAATTATATTATTTAGGATGAGGTACCAATTAGATGTTTGAAGCTTAATTCGTCATTATCACAGGCTACACCAACCGAAAGAGTGAAAGCCGATTCCTTTATCATGAAACCAGCAGTGTTGTTGTACCGGCAAAAGATCTTCACGTCCTTGGATTAATGCGATGCAATATATCATCGGCATGTTTTACATGTTCTTCATTTCCGTGCTCAGAAGCAGCCATATGTTCTTTCAGATCCGTTTTTTTGTCATCCCTATATAAATTGTTTGATAACAATTCAATTACCAATTGTAACGTTTACAATTCATTTGGTGGACAGCCCAGGTTTTAAGTATTCCTCTATTATAAATTGTTAACCATACCAGATGTTGCGTAAAGTGATGCCTTTCTTAGGGATGACTTTGAAACCAACCTCATTTAGATTGCGATAGAGGAATAGGGACATATTCAGATTGAAAGGTAAAGATGAGGTGTTACGGCTGTGTTTAGACGAGAGAAGAGTATTATTTGATGAAAAGAGGTTATGCTGGGAAAACATTCTGTCATAGCCATTGTTCTTAAGTATAGATGAAACATTTTCTGTTTGAACTCTATAGGTCGACGAACTGTTACAGTAAGGCGTCGTCCTTTTCTCTTCGACCATAGGTACCCATGGGAATGAAAATTTTCCTTGTGATTCTATGCAGCACTTTTAACTGAATGGACCCTTTTTCTGTTGTCATGACGCATCAAAAATGGTAAACCCCGATAGCGCTGATATCTGTCTCAGGCGAAACATCAGGGTTAAGGGTTTTATTTCATTATGTTACTGTCTTGCAGAATATGCTTGCCTGGTAAGAAATTTTACGTTTTACTTTGTCATGTGATTGGATATCAGATATTGCGGGCTCTGCCAAATTGCAATAATGGTTATAACAGATACCAGCTTCAGGTATTCGTGCACTATCCCAGACGGAAATGACTGAACAGTGACTGATATATTGAGGAATGCACCTTACCCACCGTTACCAAACTCTACGAGACTTTTGCAGTTAGACCAGCAACGGATTCAGCGAGTTTTCCATTACATTAAAATTACTGTGATTCAGTTTGTGGTATCGAGTATCAGAATGGAAATACGACATATGGGAAGGACTGGCAACTAGATTACTTTTAAATTACTCAATTATATGTTCAATGTTATTAAAGGCTATTAATTTTCAAATTTTTTGAGACCTTTAATTTGAGAATATGGGTTATTTGCTGATTAAACAGTTAAGCTAACGGGTATATTGATTTTTTCTCAAGGATTATGAAACAACGGACTGTTTTTCGCCTAGTTGTTTCTCTTGAATCTCCTGCAATTTCTGAAGATATGGACGGCCTATCGCACCCTGCCACTGCCTATAATAGCTTCAGCAGGCTCCACTCCTATTTTAATGCTTGTAATGAATGGTACAAAACGACGTCGCTTTGCTGGGTCGAACAGAATCATGTTCGAATACCAACGGTTGTACCTTGATGATATACGTTGGTATATATGATAGACATTATGGGCTGGCTAGCAACGTACTAGCTTTCGATACCGCCGCTAAAAATAACAATCTCTTGTCATTTCTTCGGATTTACACGGTGTACCCGCACCATCTCCTTGCCTCTATCATCTTGTATGGTACATTTGCATCTGCGTCTGTCGATATTTTGCAGTTCCGTTTCTTTTGTATATTACCCTGACAATGATGCCATTCTGAGGTGCGAAAAAGCATTGTCAAATAAAGGAATTTAACATCGTTCTAGAAACGTAGTTACTTTGAACAGCGAATAATAGAAAGACACAGGTTTGTTGTCGTGCAGATAGGAAACGATCCGATAACTCCTTCTCTATTTATTTAGACGACTGAGAATATAATGTTTTTTTTAGCATTTCGATGCGGCATTACATAACGTATTTAATTCTTTTCAGTTGGATCGCCTGTTGGCTCTAATATGCTCTTTTATAACATAGATGTCGCATGCGGCGGAAATCAGTACTGACGACCAAGACTCCAGGATCGAAAGGGCAAAACGACAGCGAGAAATATTCATGGGGTCAATGGACAAGCCAGAGACGTTAGTTTTGTCAATTTTCGCCGTCCATCTATTTGTTGTATTGTTCGCGATTTGTCGTTTCAGAGGAATGTCGTTTATCGATGTCATTTCCTGCTGCGCTTCGTACTTACATAACGGTATTACGTTCGTCTACAAATGGTGCAGACCGTCTACGTTTGAACAAAGCCGACAGACGCTGACCGAAAAGATGAAAACGATGACCTACGCACAGATGTTCAGAACGTCCTGCTCGTACGGCTTCAAGTTTGGCAAGTCCGGCCTCTGGCTAACGTATTTCTTCGTGGCTACCCTGTTGCGTTTCCTCTTCTACCTGATGGGCGGTACGAAGGAGGACGAGGAGGCGACCCTGAAGCCGCTCTCTCCGTTAATGGCCGAACGGCGCCTGCTGCCAAAGTACCAGGCCCTGCACCAGCTGTCCAGCATCGATAAACCGTCGACGGACAACATCGAAGCATTTGGAATATCCCTCACCTACGACAACAGCGTCAATCTGCTACCGCAAATCGGCGAAACCGAGGAACAGTCTTTCTCTGAACGAACCTCCATGTTGAGCGCTTCAGAGGACGAAAACGCTAATGTGTCCCGCTTCCTTTCTCCAGTACCTCCAGGTGTCCAATTTGTCAAGGAAGCCTCTGAAAAGTAACATGCTTTCCTTGGCTTCGTGTTTCACAACTTTTCACCCGTGTTTCGTTGTAGTCTTAATGGCAGAACTCAGAGTCGCCATCCATCGGTGTCATCGCAACCCATGTCTTCGGGTCCTGACTATCCTGAATACATGGCTGTCTACGAACCAAAAATAGCCGAAACTCTGCAAAAATCTAAAGTTCCGCTTTCGGTAAGTTCAGTGATATCAGAAATCATTTTGGCTTACGGTCTGTTTTCAGGGGATCTTGGCAAGAAACTTCTTCGTCTTGAAATACATCACTTTGGGTTTGGCATTTTTCATCAACGCCATTTTGCTGTTCTACAGAGTAAGTTGTAGAACGCTTAGAGATTATCCGTTTTTACGCAGAATAATACAATGAAATATTATGGTTCGAAAAGCACGATTTGCTAAGGTAACGCGATTTGAAAAGTATAACCACTGAATTGCTGAAATAACTTTCACAAATGACGGCTTTTCAGCTCTACCAGCCATTGCATGTACTCAATTCACAATGCTAGTTTTACTCAGCCTGTCGCATCGCAGTGTGTCGGCATACCTCTAGAAATCATTTAAGTAGGCCACCATTCCACGGTGTTTGTGCACCTGCAGTGCGTCGACGGCAGGGTCGTATCACTGAGTTAGGTTGAAGAACAGCCTGTTCGAGTACCAGTTGAATTTTTCACTCTCAGTAGACAAATATACAATTCAGGCATAACAGCGATGATCTGCGGCAACTGTCACATATGGTTGCTTTTCAATTCCAGTGGCATTTGAGTATAGCCCCATGTAATCACTTCCACCAGTCTTAAACCACGGACGTGTCGGTGTGAAGTGAGTTACTTTTCACAATGCTTGCTGGCTATTCAGTTTGAGGTCGTGAAAAGTATTCAATTTGCTCTAGCCACAATTACGAACTGGTATGTTCAATATAAGGGATGAGGTTATGCATTCGATGTGCAGTTGTTAAACTGTCATGGAATTGTGGATACTGCTTGGACGGCCATCCTAGGCACCTAAAAGTAAATCACCAGTGTGATGGGCCGTTGTATCTGAAATTATGAATTGGTTAGACTAGGTAGGTTTATTGGGATCATAGACATTAAACCAAATGTTTCTACGTGTGTTAAAGACTTTCTTAAAGATAATGCTGTTTCTAATGACTTTCGACTGCAGCGATTTTCGAACAAGTAAGACATAGCCAATATTTAATAGGGCTTTCCATATTATCATTAACATTTGTCGATCCTAGCAGTTAATTATTGCTTTTGGAATCAGTAGCCAGCAAATTCATCAGATTCTTTTCAATGGTTCCAGTGGTCCGCAAATCAAACTTGCTGAATCGGCTGGATTCC